CTCTCCACCTGACTGGTCATGGCCTGCCAGCATTCCACCCATCATCACAAAATCAGCTCCAGCACCAAAAGCCTTTGCAATATCTCCAGGGCAAGTGCAACCTCCATCCTGTAATAAACATTGCTACTCAGTAAGGAAATAGGGAATACATATTGCTATTATCTTACTTTTATCCCTACACATAATTTTGTACTTATGTATTCAGCTACTATCCATATTAGTAAAAGTATTCACAATACATGTACATACTTTTCTGTTTCATTAAGTTTAATAATAACAATAATAAAAATAAATATTTTGACCATGGTTAAACACATGAATAAACAGACTGATAGTTTGATTGATTAATATATAGACATATAAATGCAGCACATAATCCACTTACAGAAATGATGTGGCCACCAAGACCATGTGCAGCATCAGCACATTCAATGACTGCAGACAGCTGAGGATAACCCACACCAGCCTTCTTCCTGGTGGTGCACACAGAGCCAGGCCCGATTCCAACCTTGATCACATCTGCTCCGGATAGAATCAGCTCCTCAACCATCTCACCAGTAACCACATTGCCAGCCTGTAGTCACACCACAAAAAGGGATAAAGATATGCTCAAAAACTAAAGCAAGTTGAAATATGTAATAATGCACTCTTTTGGAACTGTCATACAAACACATATATGTCCGCAGGGTAAAGATACAAATTAGATCATAAACTTTTAACTGTAATAAACGGTTCACATTTACTTCTGATAGAAATATATACACTTACCAATATTGTGTGTTCTGGGTAGTTCTTCCTAACTTTTCTAACATATTCTACAAATACTTCTGAGTAGCCATTTGCAACATCCAGGCAGATGAATCTGATCTGCAAATGAGTAGTCAATACATTTCCAAATTGTTCAACCAAAAACAAAAATAGTGTGTGTGTGTGATATATATATATATATATATATATATATATATATATATATATATATATATATATATATATATATATATATATATATACATATATATATACATATATACACACACACACACACACACACACACACACACACACACACACACACACACACACACACACACACACACACACACACACACACACACACACATATATATATATATGTATATATATATATATATATATATATATATATATATATATATATATATATATATATATATATATATATATATATTATTTATATATATATACTATTTATATATATATATATATATATATATATATATATATATATATATATATATATATATATATATATATATATATATATATATATATATATATATGCATATATATATGCATATATATATGCATATATATATACATATATATATATATATATATATATATATATATATATATATATATATATATATATATATATATATATATATATATATACTATTTATATATATATATATATATATACTATTTATATATATATATATATATATACTATTTATATATATATATATATATATATATATATATATATATATATACTATTTATATATATATATATATATATATATATATATATATATATATATATATACTATTTATATATATATATATATATATATATATATATATATATATATATATATATATATACTATTTATATATATATATATATATATATATATATATATATATATATATATATATATATATATACTATTTATATATATATATATATATATATATATATATATATATATATATATATATATATATATATATATATATATATATATATATATATATATGTGCGTGTGTGTGTGTATAAATATATAAGACAGCATCCCTTTACTTTACTGTTCAAACAAATGAAAAGATTAAAGACAATCTTTGTTCCAATACATGTTAAAACTGACATCAATAAACTAAATTCAATAAAGTTCAAATGAACACATTTATATTATAATATGTAGTAACACCAAATACCCACTGAAATAAGCTTCACTTACCTCAGAAAAAGCTGCAAGGATCTGCTGGAGCCTCTCCCAGTCGGAGTCTGAGATGCCTGAAGAAGCTGCCACATAGTTGAGTGTGCTTTTGTTGTTTTCTCCGAACTCTTTCCATTCATCGATGCTATAGTGCTTGTGTATAGTTGTAAAACATTTGTGCTGGAATAATGTAGATGTTATTTTACGGCTAAAGTATATGAAACGGGATATTCTTTATTGAAATCTTTTATTTCAGAAATATAATAAACATATCTTGTGCACTAAACATTCATACTGCCACCTACACCAAGAGTGAATATATTACACATCATCTATAAAATCATGGCATGAACACAAAATAATAAGGATCAGTCAAAAAAAGTTACAAAGCGTAATACCTTGGCAAGAGTCTTGGCCATCTCGAAAGTGCCTACAGTATCCATATTGGCAGCAATGACAGGAATACCCGTCCATGTATGCTTGGAGTTCCTGAAGGTGATGGTTCGCTCCAAGTCTACCTGCAGGAAGCATAAAAAAAATTAGCTTTAAGTTTTCAAACTTTTATGGAAAGAAGGAAAGACACTGAAAGAGAAGGGGAGAGTGGAGCAGGGTGGAGAAATGGGTTTAGGAGGGACATGGGAGGGGGGGGAGTGAGAGAGAGAGAGAGAGAGAGAGAGAGAGAGAGAGAGAGAGAGAGAGAGAGAGAGAGAGAGAGACAGAGACAGAGAGAGAGAGACAGAGACAGAGACAGAGAGAGAGGAGGAGAGAGGGGAGAGAGAGATGAGAGAGAGAGAGAGGGAGACAGACATGAGAGAGAGAGAGAGGGGGGGGGGGGAGACAGACATTGAGAGAGAGAGAGAGAGGGGAGACAGACATTGAGAGAGAGAGAGAGAGAGAGAGAGAGAGAGAGAGAGAGAGAGAGAGAGAGAGAGAGAGAGAGAGAGAGAGAGAGAGAGAGAGAGAGAGAGAATGGCAAACAGACAGACAGACAAATCAACTCATTAAAAGTATTGTGAGCTCGGCCTCCTATAATGGCAGGAACCTCTTTCAAAATGATCAAAGGATAGTTAAACAATTAATGCAAAATTACGCATCCAGGTAAGGAGTTAAAAATAAACCTGGCAATTTCGCGGTATTTCGATCCAAAAATAACCCGATAAACTGCTTTGATAAATATATTGATTTGCTGTCTTCTATAAGTCAATACCTGGGACCGCTGTGGCTGACTGGTTGGACATTACAGCATGTTCTGTGTTTAAAAGAATGTTATTATTTCTAGAGGAAATCATCTAAACATTTTACCTTTCTTCGTAATTACATCAGTTTTTAATCTATTGAAATATGACCTATGTACAGCTTGTGTCCGAGAATTATCAACTATTGGCAAAAATAAACAACAAGTTAGTTCGCAGAAGTTGAAGTTTGCATTGAATTCAAATAATGGCGAAAATTGATATCGAGGAATATCAAGGCATTTACACTCTGGGTCACTGAATTCTCATAATACTGCCCTCATCACCATAGTAACAAGTTTTGCATGTTAATCTAGGGTTCGCGAGCACAGGTTTAGTATGGTAGGCCGGTTTGAGGCGAGGTAAACACGTGTCCTAAATTTGGTCAGGCAAGGGCGAGGGGAAAAATCTATTTTTCATGTTTCCTTCCGTGACCTACATCCTTCATAATCCCCCCCCCTCCCCCACATCCCTTACCCTGCCTTCCTACTCCCTTCCCTCCTTTCTTCCCTCTATGACACGCACGCACGCACACGCATTTCCTTCCCCACGCATGTCCAGTCACTCCTTGTGATTGCGTCACTGCACGCAAGGGGTCTTTCAAATCAATAAGCCACACTCGATGACTGTCCATGACACATTCTTCGCTTTTGTTGCCTGGGAGAAGGAACACCCACGCAAAACCTTAACATAGAATAATAAATTAATGCAGGTAGATAAACAAATAAACACTAAAACAAACAAACAAATAAAGGCGGGACTAGGCTTGCAAATGAAATAATGGGAGTTATTTAGAGTCTCAAGATATTTTAAAAGACAGGGAACAAAGACTAGACTGAATGGGGGGGGGGGGGGGGGACAAATTAACGTACAAACAACACGCTTTAATGCCATCATGATAGCAAATCGTGCCTATTTTTTTCCCTTTTATTTACTCACGCCATTAAAAATAATAACAGAAACAATACGTGATATTTATCTCTCATTAATAAAACAAATATTTATAATCATATCACTAACGGACGTGCATGATTTTTCCCTCACTTCCATTCGGGGGAAAAAATGTTCATTCTCTCATGTCCGCTCTGTCATGCCACTCTAAAAAAAGAAAAAAAAAAAAGGTTGCGAAATCCAGTGTTCTCTAACCGCCTATTCATTAAAAAAATCTTTATATCAATAATTAGTAAAAAAAAAAAAAAGATGCGTGTCACCATCACTCTCCACTACCACTTCCCTGCTTCCCTTTCAGCTTTTTCTGCCGCTGTTGGTACTAGCTGATATGTTATTGTTGCTTCTTCTTCTTCTATTACTACTACTACTACCGGTACTTGTGCTTCTACAACTACTTCTACTACAACTTAATAATATAATAATAATAATAATAATAATAATAATAATAATAATAATAATAATAATAATAATAATAATGATGATAATGATGATGATAATAATAATAATAATGATAATAATAATAATAATAATAATAATAGTAATAATAACAATATCAACAAACAACCTAATCAAAATAGTATAAGCAGTGTCATCACTAGTGTTGCTAGTGTCATGTTTTATCCTTTTTAACTATCTACTATCCACTCTAAAATCCAACTCAACTAAATTGCTCTATCATCATCATCATCATCATCATCATCATCATCATCATCATCATCATCATCATCATCATCATCATCATCATCATCATCATCATCATCATCATCATCATCATCATCATCATCATCATCATCATCATCATCATCATCATCATCATCATCATCATCATCATCAT